TTTTTCAAATATTGCCAGACTTTTATGTATCTGATAAGAGGATTAAAAAATAAAAAATAAAATTATCATTTGGAAAGTGTATATAAACTATTTTAATCATAAATAAATAGATTAAAATGTGAATAAGTTGATTTTAATTTTCTAAATAAAATTAAGTTATATATTTATAAATAATTATAAACATGAACCAAATGTAGGAAAATTTAAGTAATTAGAATCATATTGTTTTTCAAATGCGTCGCTTCAAATAAATATGGGAACCGATTCTTTCATTCCACAGTGTGAAGATGTGATACCACTAAACGCAAAAATGCACGGATGACTGCTCATAATTACACTTTTTCCACATGGAAGAAATGAACTGCGAGCGTACAAAGATTTGAATTCCAGCTTTATCGTCAAGTGTTTATGAAAAATTATGCCCAAGTTAAGTTTGTTGAAAAGCAAATTTGATCTGCACCTAAATGAATCATCGAATACAGTTTAAATAATTGAAATTATCATTTTTTTTTTATAGAATTTAAACGTTTTAAATGAAGTAAATATGTTTTTCAAATATGTGAAATGCATTGTTAAGATGTCGAATTCACATTGTTAATCTATTTTTAGTGTAACAATTAAAGTGACAATTTGAAATCATTCATGCTGCTCAATGTTCCTAATTTAATTGAAAGTCTCTCTCGATAAATATGATAAATGCATTAACAAGTGTCAAAACACTTACTGAAATCATATAAAGTATAGATGTATATCTCTATTCTTTATCGGACTTTACAATATTTATTATATTGTGCTTAAACCCACTCTTTCAATAATAATTAAATCCACTAACAATTCAACTGGTGATCAAGCAATAGAAAAATGATAAAAACGTTAATAACAATCTACAAATAAAATCAATTTAAAGTCAAAATAATTAATTAAAAAATGAAAATATCGTAACAAGGATTCAACTCATCTTAGTAATGTATAAAACTAGCATAACATATTAGAATTAGAAAAAATCGTGTTAAATGTATTGAAAATACCCTAAAATTGTGAATTAATGAATGAATGGTGAATTTTGATATTCTTGAATTTCTTCAAAGTAATCATAATAAATTTTCAATAATTCTTTCAGATCTTTTCCCACAAATCCCAAGTTTTCTGATGAGTTATTGAATTTAGCCTTTAAAATCTTCTCACAACATATTCTTTTGCCCCCTTTTATGATGAGAATTGATGGAATATTGTAGTATGAGATGTATATGAGAGGTATCCAATATGTGTTCTGCTGTTGGGTATTTGTAGGAGTAGAAAATTAGTTAGAAAATCACATCTAAATTAGTTTTCAAAAGAGTTCCAATCTATTAAGGAAAATTGCTTTCATGTGCCATGTTTTTTATCTCCGCATAGTCGTCAGTATTTTAGTTATAATTTTCTTTTACAATATCCGATTGAGTCGGTTCAAAATGCGTTGAAAAACTAAGCCAAAAGTCTACAACTTTGACGGAGGTAGAAAATTTCCAGTTCGAACATTTACTATGTCGAAAATAGGTCTAGATCTTTGGCTAAAAAACTGGAATATAACTTGTATGATTGGAAATTTATTTGTGACAATATTTTGATCATATTTTATTCATTTTTGACTTTTAATTGCATTCGATTTTCTCCTAGCAATCTTCTAAGTATCGTCTTATGGTCTGAATCAACTATTGGATATTTGCAATTTGGTTCATCAAACTTTGGATTTCATCATTTTCAACAATTTTTGCTTCTTTCTTTCAATTTCTCCTTTAACCATTGAGTTTTATATATATAGCCCCTGTTTGAGCCCCCATTTTTACCTCATTAAAATGAAAAAATATGACCGTTATCTATCACATTAAGCCACCATTTTTTAATTTCTATCTCTGGTATGGGTTCATAAAGGCTCTATTTCTCATTTTCATTCTCATTCTAACTATAATGTGGCTCAAACGGGCTTATAATATAAAATACAACAATTTAAGATATACTTTGCCAAAAAATATACCATATATTGCTATTTTAGACCTTGAATAAATAAATAAAATATACTTATCAATCCCATCATGCAAGGTGCCAAGAAATGAACAAGAAGAAGCGCAAAGTGGAGATAATGGGCCATAAAAATTATTAAAAATAGTAATGTATGTAATTATTAGGGCATATGAAAACTTTAATAGTTAATGGAAGACCAGAAGTGGAAAACAGAGAAGTCTCTATGATTAAAAAACCGGATGAATTTACTACCATGCTAGTTAACTTAGACTCATGATTGGAACCCATTATAATATCAACATCAAACCCAGTAAACAAAATTTCGAGTTAATAAAGTGAAGATTACTCCAACTTATACTCCAAAAAAGTTTACTATTGATTTGCCATGAGATTGACATGTGGGAGTAATTTAGATTAAATTTCCACTGTTGAGATGTTATATCGAGCAAGTAGGCTATAGTTTTTTAGCATCTATTATTTGTTTCTGCTTTTCATACAGCCAGAGAGAGGCCACTGGTGACATGACTTAAAGTAAAAACACAGAAAAGAAAAGATTGCTTGGAAGAACCCTAGTTTCCCTATATTCAATAATCTGACTCTATATGAACGTACATATACATATATATATATATATATATATGTATATATATATATATATATATGTATACACAAATAATGCTACTTTTACAGAAAAGTCTGGCCTAATATACAATGACAGAAGATGCGTAGTTAGAGTTGATTGCATGGGACAATTGATATTGTTTAAAATAGTTCAACAATAAAATATTATGTCATATTATGTCAATTATTATGTCAAAATTTCTATTGGTTTAAGACAGTCTGCACTTATTTTTATTAGCTGTAGATTTGATTTGAGCTAATAAGTAGAGGTGACGTCTATCTAACTTTCTTGAAAAACAGTCTTTTATTCCTACGCTGTTAAGATGGACGGATTCGCGTACGTATTCTCTGATGAGACTGAACCCTAATGCTAGGTTTAAACCTAATTTTTGAGACTGTAATATGAACTAAATTCTTACCGTCCCCACGCTTAAACTAGAGTAAAACCGGAATATCTGGAGTTGAATTAGGAATGCTTCTTTATTTCTGTTCAAGAAAATGCAAGATATAAATTCATTGTATTTCTACTGTCCCACCGCTAAAACTAGAGTAAAACCGGAAGATCTGGAGTTGAATTGGGAATCAGGAATGCTTTATTTCCGTTCAAGAAAATGGGAGATATAATAATATCTTGGTAATAACACTTAATTGAGGAATTTTGTGCGAAACTATCGTAAAAAATTATTAATCTATTGTTGATACAGTATGATATGATAGTTTTTGCAGCACGTGAATTCCCGGACCTAATTCATCTCAATTAATTTCATGTAATTTATATATAGAGGGTATGAATAACGATTGCATGGATAAGATTTTTACTCCATTGAAAATTCATTGTGATTTCTGATTTAAATTATTGGCTTCAAGCACTTTTAATTAATGTAATTCTTACATTCTCCCCTCATTAAATTTGTTGAATATTAAATTTAAATAAAAGTATTAATTTTTTAATCTGTAAATTTTAAAATTAGACAATGTTACCATTCATTCATTAAAAAAATTGTGCACAGATTTCTCAGTTTTTTAGTAAATCTGAACGACACGAAGAAATCTCTTAATTTTTAGCATCTATATTCTCAATTCATGAATATGTATTCTAAGATGCCATTGAATTTTATTACATTATATCATTAGTTAACTTTGGTTTTGAAAAAAGTTATACAGTGATGTTTATCTCCTATTAGTGCAATTGATTAGATCAAAATTATCTTCATTAGAGACTCAAGAAGTAGCCTTTCACTGACAACATGAAAAGCATGTTGAAATAGAAGATGAATTAGGGTCCGTATGACAAGACTCGTGCTTTGGCTAATGCTTCTTTTGAAGAGGTTTTTTGAGATAATTAATTTAAATCAATTTTCTCTAAAAACTCCTGACAGAACAATTTTAAAAAATTATTCAAATATATTCAAATTCAATTTCTTAATCTCAGAAACAGCTTTTGACTCTTCAAAAATCTTGTCAACACATACCCTTAGTTGCTTGAACTAAAGAAGACAATATGCAAAATACGAACAAGTAAAATCAAATGTTTAGAGATAATTGCAATTTTATCCAAACTAAGGAATCCCAGAAAAAAAAAATCCCCCATGGGAAAAGCTTTTCACTGTTCACAAGAATATTGTTGACAGAAAAATTAATGTTTATCGGTGTTGGTATTCATCGAATAATAGGGGAATAATGCTTGGGAAAGAGGAAGCCCGTTTTGGCTGCCCCACAACCACAATTCATCAGCATTCTAAGCTTGAGACATTAATTTCACATCAACCGAGCTAGACATCCATGGATAAAAAACAGGTTTTGGGTCCAGACGCCACGAGTCGGAGGGTGATTGATCGGTTCAAAAAAAAACACAAGGATTCCAATCCCGGGATTTAAACCCGGGATGAGAAGCTTAAACCATTTCGCATATCATTACTCTCTTCTAACTTCGAGTGGAATAAATAATTTTTTACTTGTCTATTCAAATTGTAATTCTTTTTTAACAATCATATTACTTATATATTAAGTTTGACAAATTCCGTGAGTTGACAAATTTTTATATATGAATTTTAACAACATTTTTTCCAATAATTTCTATACATAGCCACATAAGTGGACTGTAAAGTGTAAACATTGCTGTCATGTGACAGTACGTTACGGTCTTTGTCATTAAGCTCTTCCTTTTTGTTATTCGTTATCCCCTTTTAATTTTTTTGTATTCATTATACTTCTCTATTTTATTACCAGCCGTTAGCAGAGATTTGAATTAGTATAAGGATTCTCGGTGGTTAAAAAAATGTCGAATAAGATTACAGGGAATTGAAGCCTTCAATAACGAAATACCTAATTACGGTGTAAATAAAGCAGAAGAGGAAAGAAGTAGGGTTCTTAGTGGGAGATGGAGAAGAAGACAATAATGTAAAGAGGGAATAATTAATTTAGTGGACAAGTGGCTTAATATCAGTAGTAGCAGTAGATGAGCACAGGAGCTGCGATTCCGTGCCCCAAAAACACACACTTACCCCCCAGAACCCCACTCCAAGCCAATCATCCATCACTACACTACACAACACAACCTCGATTTGATCGTTCATTTCTCTTTCTTTGAATTCTCAACCCCCTCTCCCTCGTCTAGAAAAAAATTTCTCTTTTTCTCTCTCTAGTTTGCCAGTAATGGCAGTGTTGCAGTGGCAGTGCAAGAAGAGAGAGAGAGAGTTTTCATTGGGAAGGTAAAGCTTTGCACGACAAGGCTCAAAGATAACACGGCCACCGACCTCCTTCTACCTCTGCAAAGATCGCGTGCACTCTGCAAATCTTTCTGTTTCTCACTACTCACTACTTTTCTTCTACACTTTGTTGTTTCTACATAGGTAGAGAGAGAGAGAGAAGGCGAGTTAATGCAGTTTTATGATCAGAAAGATAAAACACCCTATTTCCAGAGGGAAAAAAAAACCCTGAACAGATTACTCTCTCAGACGCATTAAAACCCTTCATCAACTGACTACCACTATTTAGGATTTTCTGTAAAAAGGCTGAAATCAGTAAGCATAAAACTCGGGAGACCACTGCTTAAGAAACATTGAAAAAGAGAAAAAGATTGCTTATGCGTGTATATAACTGAAAAAGAGTGAGACAGAGATAATACGTTTAAGGTTTTTTATAAGGTAAAACAAAGGGAACAAACAGAATATTTAGTGAAAGAAGCAGGCAGAGGTTGAAATGGAGGGCGGTGGCGGTTCTAGTATGATGTCTTTTGGAGAAAACAGTGACGGGCTGTGTCCATCGATGATGATGCCGCCATTGTCTTCTCACCCTAATTCTCATGCACCCAGCAGCAGTATGCTATTTCTTCCTCTTCCACTCCCCAGCAACAATCAAGACCTAAATCGATATAATAGCGGCGGTGGCGGCTCTACCATGATGATTGAAGAAAATTACAACAACGCAAGCACTGGGGATTATCTTATGGAGAGCAATAGCGACAACGATGGAGGAAACTATGCTGTCAAAGCAAAGATCATGGCTCATCCGCATTACCATCGTCTCTTGGCTGCTTATGTTAATTGTCAAAAGGTAAAAAAAATGACCGAAATTTTTCTAGTGAAATTGTAAAGAATACCCCAAGACCTATTTCTCTTTCCCTTGGCCCCACGAGGAACTTGAAAGAGTTAAATTATACATCTTCGTCTTGTCCCCGAAATTCCTCTCATTATTTCAAGAATTTGGGTGGTGACGTAAAAATATTTGCAGCGTGGGTGTGCAGAGAGGGAGAAATCCCCTTTTTTTCTTTTTCAAAAAAAAAATGTAATTTACCACAAGAATTATGAAGTCAAGAAAAGAGTACGTAAGTAAAGCCCTAAATAGCAGTGACGTTAAAGAGAGTTTACCAAGTTATACCAAAATTTTCTGTGGAACTGATGATGCGGGACTATTTATACAGATAGGAGCTCCACCGGAAGTAGTGGCAAGACTTGAGGAAGCATGCTCGTCAGCCGCCGCAATGGGCCGCCAATCAAGCAGGGTGGGTGAAGATCCAGCGCTTGACCAATTTATGGAGGCATACTGTGAAATGTTAACGAAGTACGAACAAGAACTCTCAAAACCATTCAAGGAAGCCGTGCTCTTTCTATCAAGAATTGAGTGCCAGTTCAAGGCTCTCTCTCTCCCCTCTGATCCTGGTGATGAACTCTCTCTCAAACTCTCTTTCGCCCTCTATCGCTTAATTTAAGGAATTTATATATATGTTTTCGGATATCACTGTTTCTTGATTTTGTTTGTTATATTTTATATGTTAGACCCGCATGTGCAGGGTTTCCAAGATGGAGATTTGATTTACTGTTCAGTGAACTTGTTTGCGGATGCATTTCCTCCATTGTTTAATCTCGCTCCCTCTCTCTCTACCTTGTTTATATTCATATGTTTTTTCATTTTCTCTGTTCTCTTTCTTTCGGATTCTTTTTGCTGTTTCTTTGGCTTTGACTGTTGGACGCGTGAAACTGTTTCAAGGGTAAGCATATGCCAAAATTTTTTAATCTAGGTTAGCAGCTGGTTAAAAAAATTTTTAAGTTATAATAATGACTTTTGTTTGATTTACTCTCAATATTCGACTCATTGGTAATTCTAATTTTAGAAGTCGATGGCACTTTTCTTATGCATTAAATTATTATATACATCCAGTTCGAATAAAGTTGGATGCTTCTACTGGGTAATATTTGGTTGTCATTCAACTAATTAAACATTGAAATTAACACTGATATTAAGCCTAATAGTGTCTGCTGCTTAGGGTTTACAGACTGAAAGAGAGCAAAGCCCAACGGTTAAGTTGAAAAACCCCAGTCATTTGAAGGATTCTATTTTATCATCAATTACATTTATCTAAGTTCGGAAGAAATTAGTGTTTCCAAGTCATTGTTCTTTAACATGTGTATTCTGTATGTCCTTTTTTCCTTGAATGTGTTGATTATTCTTGCCTATTCCATCAGTAAAGCAAGGAACCAAATTTAATCTGAATTGTTTGCCTTGTGTTTCCAAAACTGTAATCAGTTAAGTTGCAAAACATGCATTATTGAGTTGTTACAAGTTTGTAAACCTGTCCATTAGATTAAGTCAAGAGAGGTAGGGAGATTTGATGACATCTAATATCTAGTGTGCTCGATGGAACTTCTTTTTCTTTACATTTCGCACTAAAGTTGACTTCGCTGGACTAGGAGGTTTTAATTATGCAATCATGCTACTTGTACAATCTTTTTTACAATCTTGGTTGACAATCATGCTTGGTAACATCATATTCATCCATTTCAAATACTATTTTTAAAATTAATGATCCTGATTTTGACGACATCAATGTTGTCATCCATCACTGTCGTCCACAGTTGTACAAATAGATTGGTTCTTAATTTTGATGCTGCTAGCCGAAATCAACTTTTATACTTGATCCTGAATTGACCTTTCATGTTATGCCTTAGAATTTCCCTTTGCCGGAGGTAAGAGCATTCTAGTTGCAGTTACCTTTCTTAGATGACTTATAATTCCATTCTATTTATTGGAAACTTCTGCTATCACAGAAGAGAAATCTGTATGACTCTGTGGGCCTTATATATATCAAAGTCTCGATTCCCTCTAAATCATACAGTTGATTCAAGTTGTTATTGGATTTAGGTATCGGCACAAGTACAAATTAACTATTCTTGTAGGTAAAAATTCATAGCCTAAAATTATGTGCATTTCCGACTATTAAGTTATTATATTTCTTTCATTTAAGATAAACTGTTTCATTTTTCTGCTATTATCAATTGACTTTTTAATTTATATTTTGTTTGCATGAGTCACTCCCTATGGCCAATGAGCAACTATTATTTCTCATTAAGATATTTGACAAACGATTTAGTAACACTGAAATGTCCTTTCGTTAACTGAAAGAAGACTCCTCAATGTACTTTAAAGATGATATCCTATTTTTCATGTCTGCATCTTTGTGAGACATATTGTTAATTTGGTCAATTTTGCATAGAGAGATTGATATGCCTGTAGGCGGTAAAGAAACCCTCGATACTCAATAAGATTAGCGATGCATTTATATAGTAGATCCTTTCTAACTTAAGATAATTGGTAGTTATGGTGGCATTACTCTGCGTAGGTGGTGGTTGGGTGAATTGTGCCATAAATTTTGGCAAATATTTTGCTGTATAAGAAAGAAAGGAATTCTTCTCTATATAAACTTGGTTTAATTTGTATGGAAAAACATTTTCAATGAACCAGTTTTTTTCTTGGACGCAAAACATTTTTAAAATGGGAAAGTAAATGTTTTTTGTAAGCTAAATGGATCCTTGATGCTTCTTCTAGAAAATTTAACTCTGAACTATTTGTTATCTGTTCTCTTAAAGTCCATGGATGTTCCATTGGATAGTATGCAGTTTTTTACACAACAAACTCTTAGATGAAGTGCAAAACAAGAAGTAGAATTGGAAGCTTGGGCTCTAGAAGGATTTGATGTTGGCCATATTTGAAGGGAGATGATTGCTTATAAATCTGATCATATTGCTATATTAGAGTGAGCAAACTACTTTGACTGTTTTCTTGACTCGCACTTTAATATCAATCATAGTTTGTGAAATGGACAACTACAGAAGTTTAAATGCCAATAGTTGATAATTAATTACTAAGAGGGAGAAAATTTAAGATTCAGCTATTGAGACATCAATTCGTAAATCAAACGAAATTTCCGACTGAAGTTCAAACTGTTTTTGTGAATAATATCTTTTCACATGCTATTCTTCTCAGCCTGAGTGAGAGGACGCTCATTAGGACATTTTTTGTTCTGTGATATAGATTATGTCAATGAGTAGCCATTTAATTTGGGAGCAAAAACAGTTTCTTAAATAAAATTGATGTGACGTGCATTAACAAATTTTTTTATTCTAATGACAAGATGCTTATGCTCCATTCGCATTGTCAGTGGCCTATGGTGATGCAGCTGATATCAATGGATCATCTGGAGAAGAGATTGATGTGAATAACAGTGTCATAGATCCTCAAGCCGGAGATGGGGAACTGAAAGGTCAGCTCTTGCGCAAATACAGTGGATATTTGGGCAGCTTAAAGCAGGAATTTATGAAGAAAAGAAAGAAAGGAAAGCTACCAAAAGAAGCCAGGCAACAACTGTTAGACTGGTGGAGCAGGCATTATAAATGGCCATATCCCTCGGTATGTACTGTACAATCTTATTTATTAATATAAATTTAGTCCATTATGAGAGCTTATATAGAATTACTCACTCGATAAATATTTGGCAGTTGGATTAGAAATTATGGTCATGAAGTCATGGTGACTTCTTTTTTGAAATTATAGCTGCTGTTTGCTATTTGCTATATTCGTTTATATAAGATCATACTGATTTTATATTATATAAACTCTTAACTAATATTTGTTTATCTTCCTTTATATCAGAGACTTGTATAATTGATTCTGATTCTCTAGTGGTTACTTTTTCTTCCTTTGTTAATTTTATTTGTTTACAAGATTTCCAATGGCCATTACTATCTCATCAAGTATAAATACCTCATTTAGGAAGTGTCGAATCTTGACTGAAAGAGTCGGAATATTGCTTTTTTCTTGATTACTAGTAAAGTTATTTCATGTGTTACCTTTTATTGCTATCTTCAATTTCTGAACACGACACTTGGCCAAGCACCAACTTCACACATATTAACGAATTTTGTGGTACTAA